ATAAGAGAGCGCGGACGTCTCCTTATGCTTTCTCTCGCCGTACTTTGATGTCATACACCGATCGATCTTCAAGTGGAACACACCTCTTCAATCTCGCGTGTCTCTGCGATTGAAAAATCGCGTTTTTTCATATCGCGATATTATCGCAAATGCAATTAATCGTTCAGCCCTACATGTAAGCATATATGTATATATAATATAAGCATATATACAAAAAGAAACGGAAACATTTTATATCATGTTCAATCAAGAGTAGTGAATGATTTCCATGTCTTTTGTTGTTTGATTAATATTAAAAACTTTAAGACAAATGCACGGATCCAGTACACTGATACTGTACGTTCAACTGACTATGTCTGCTAGGATACTCACCAAAACGGGCATGTTGACAATTTTTGTGTGAATTTGTCCATTCAAGCACAAGACATGAAAGAGAACTAAATATTTGCATGCGTTCTGAGACACGTGTTTGGCGCTTCGGATGAGCGCCCACACAAATCTTCTCACTGCGCGCACGAGTTCTCATTCGCGTCTTCTGGCTCTTGAATGTTTAAACTGGCAAGGCTTAAATTATTTAAGTTTAAACACAGATAGCAACGTGTGCTGTTCAGGTCTCACCTGCGCACACGCGCTATCAACACCCGGGTGATGACGGCATAAATGACTGGTCTACTGGTCATTTTCCAGCATACGGCAGTCGCATTAAAGGGGTCATTTGATGTTGCTAAAAAGAACATTGTGTATTTGGTGTAATGAAATGTGTTTATGCGGTTTAAGGTTCAAAAAAACACATTATTTTCCACATACTGTACATTATTGTTTCTCCTCTATGCCCCGCCTTTCTGAAACGCGTCGATTTTTACAAAGCTCATTGGTCTGAAAAGCGAGGTGTGCTGTGATTGGCCAGCTATCCAGTGCGTTATGATTTCCCGAATACCTCAAGCGTGTGACGGAAATGTTACACCCCTACCATACTGTGATGCCGTCAGGCCGGAGCGACTATTCAAAAACATGAAAACCCATTATAAATGAGGCATTTGTTGCATCCAGTGAAACTGTTTGCAAATATTTGTACATTTAAATGAATATATTTATTAATACATAAGTAACAAATGATAATAACTACCATTTAAATAAACGTAAACAAATCAATCAACAATTAAACTATGTAAAATAATATGTAAAATAAATGTAAGTAAAAATAAATATTTATAAATGCATCAATAAAATGTAATTAAATGTAAATAAATATATCCAAAATGAAGTAAATAAATAAAGTGATTGATAAATGTCGATATTTATGTATTTACATACATTTAATATTTTGTTCATTTTTCATCCAGGATCATCCAGGTAACAACCCAGTATTAAAGGCACAATATGTACAATTTTTTTATTAAAATATCCAAAAACCACTAGAACGGTGTTATATATTTTGCTGACTTGTGTACTTACATTATCCCAAATGTTTCGAAGGATGT